GTGGGCGATGGAGCCCTCCACGAGGACTTCATAGATGTTGCGCACCAATTCGGGTGGGAAGTTGACCTGTTGGGGCGGGTTTGTTAGCTTCCGGACGGTCGAGCGGCGGAGGGACTGAACTGCAATGTGAGGGTGATGGTTAATACCTTCTCGGCCTGGACGGCAGCCTTTGTGATGACGTCTTGCTTACGCCACTCGTCACGGACCGCCTTGCGGCTCGGTTTTATCCGCGCCGCCGCCTCGATGTAGCGCATTCGGTCACCTTAATGGATAACACACAATCAGCGGGGAAGATAGAGACATGGATCGAAGGGAAGGCAGCTAGAAAGAGGGGAGGGAGAACTGAGGGAAAAGGGAATGAGGGAATGAGGGAACGAGGGAATGAGAGAATGGAGGGAGACAAACCCAACAAAGTCACGATGCGTCTGTCCAGATCATCAATACCGATCCTGACCTCAGCCATAGTTGTCACCGTGGCAGCGTTGAGAGTAGCTGGGTCAATCTCGACCGCCGCCGCCTTGGGCGCCGGGGTGTTCTCAGAAACGGCTGTTGTTGCTGCGGGAGGCATGGCTGGGGAGTCTAGAGTTGACGACGAGGGCAAGAATGGGGATGAGGTTTTCGGTGGGAGGGGAGGAGACTTTAAAAGGAAGACATGCACTGCGTTATCGCCAGGGTAAGGGTTACTTGTATCAACCTCGCAATTAATCTTCACGGGTGCCGCCGCAACTAAGCGAGAAGGTGTTGAATTCCGGGGAATGGCCACCACCTCCGACTGATCCACTACTGGCACCTCCACCACCACATGCACACACCACCCACACACACGCATCAGAATCCACATGCACGCCCGGGCGCGATTCGTTTCCTGGATACCTCCCGCTGTCGCCGTATTTGGACTTGCCGGTATGCACGGTTGAGGACGAAGCACCTGCTCAGGCCTAGGCGCATAGAGGCAAGCCCAGGTTTCCCGCCGCAGTGGTACTTGGTCCTGAGTAATCTGCAACTTGGCTGCCGAATTCGCTCTCACAGATGCATTGGTACCTACTCGAGAGTAGAAGTAGAGTACCGTCTACTGAGCTAGAGTCTAGGAGTTACCTCAGATATACCCACATGTACACTGCATTCGACTCTATGCATGATGGAACTCGATCTATAAGACTACATCCAGTGATTAGTAATTTTCTGAGTACTATGTATCCCGAAATCATTATTACTCTCCGGGCCAGCCAACTACTGTCACGAGCAAGCTTTTCCTGCACTTGGACTCTCGTCAGTGTCCGCAAGAGATAGTTCTTCACCAGTCAGCATATAAACCAAGATTTTGATATTTGTTTCTCGATCAATATCCCAGGTTTCTGCCTGATGTGGCCCTCCATTTCTCATCTCACAAAGAAAAAAAATGGGAGGAAACAAGGCTCCGGTATGTCCTCGCACATTCTGTCAGAGGAATTACATAGGTGCTTCTTTTTCAGTGCCTAGAGTGCTCTGTCAGAAAAAAGGCTCAATAAGAAAATATTGCCTCACCATCTGTGCCCGTGATACTCAATCTTTGAGATTTGTCTGGCAATAGGTAGTTTGATTCTTGATAGGTTGATATATTATGAACATGAGTTCGAGGACGAGCTGTTATTACTTTACAACGCCATACCACCGAGCCCTCAACACACCAGCTATTTAAGGCATTTGGCGCTACTAGTGTTAGAGTTTCGAATCGTAGGTAGGGTATGCATTTAGTATATACTGCCGGAAATTTGGGTGCGGCGTCTACGCGATTATATACACATGATCATGGATAATCACTCGTTGGAATCAAGTTGAGAGTAACGAAACAATGAGTGATAGGATAACTGAGTTAATTAATCGTTTAATAAAAGGCCAAATTAATTTCAGTAAGGGGTGTGTGGAACTCATCCGACCAGGGACGGTTGAATGGCATACAGTCCATGCAGTGCTGCATCGAATATTTGAAGGCTCTAGATAAGAGCGCTATATTTGAGATAAGCACAAGGGACTATTGAGCTTGGCATTGACGGCTTTGAGACCATTTATTGTTTTAAATGAAGAAAATTAATCATACGTAAAGACTTTTAGTTAATCCGGTCCTTAATCTTCACAACTAAAGGACATACATGTATATATAAGCCACTGAGGAATTGTTTACCTAACTTCCTCACCTATATATTGCGCCTCGAAACCCGTTTGCAGTACTCTCACTCCCACGGGAGGTATAATTCTTGGTCACAAGCTATCGCTTTAAGGTTAACTTAGCATGATAGGCTCGAGCCAGCTCGAATTATGGTGAGGGAAGCTCGAGGCGCCCGAGCCATGGGTCTGGGTGCGAGCTTTCCATATTGTACCTAATAAAATAAACCTGTCAGTATTAGATTCCTAACTAGGAAGGTCATTTCATTACCTGAATCGTTGATTTGACTATTTGACAAGTATTTCCAATGTTTTATAAAGCTCGAGCGCCTGTGTGAAGATAGGCTCGAGCTGGCTCGGGTTCGCGGTGAAGAGAGCTGCTAGAGCCCAAAGCTCGAGCCGGCTTGTCTCGTGCCCATTTTACCTCGCGCCCCCAGTAGCTGGTGTCAAACAAGAGGAGAGTCGGTGACGGTTACTCAATGCCGTACATCCATAATCCTTCTTGTTCTTCATCCTTCTGGCGCACTCCCGCAGCTGCATGGCGAAGCAGGTGTGAGGAGGAAGAAGATAACATGAGAACCATGAATTGAATAGCACAAGCCAGTCCGTACCGAAAGCTAGTCTCAATGGTAGCTGAGTACTGTGCTATTGAGATTTCGGGCTTGCGGTCGGTTTCGGTCATGTAGTTCATTCCCGCTTCGTATGTAGAAGCTGCAGAACAAGATACTTCTGAGTTAGCAGTTGGGAGGGGTTAGAGTAAGGTATAATGTAGGTAATAGTGTAGGCGGCGGGGGGAGGGTATGTAGGGTCGAACCGTGACTGCGCTGTATTAGAGTAGATCTTGACATTATAGGTTCTGGTTGTATGGAATGGATAGCTATTGGAGTCGACGGCCCGGACAACCTTGTATGAACGTGGGATAGCCATAGAATCAGCATGGCAAAGTATGTACTTATTTACCTAGATATTGCTTGGAATATGAAGCTACATAGTTACCACTATTGGTGATCATTTTGTAGGCAAGGTTTCGTGAGTACTATATATTGAAAGTACTTGATCTTCTGTTCAGGGGCAATTGAAGGTATGACCTCAATGCAGATACGGTACTTACTTATAATTATGTATTGACCCATGAAGACGATCGATTGCAGCTGGCCCGTCCCGTAGACTTGCGGCGCCGTTGTAGAGGAGAACAGTAGATCTCACGATAGGAGCGCAAAAAGAATGTGGGGTAAAAGCTTAATCAACGCGGGGCTAATAAAAAAAGAAAATTTAAAAGAAAGTATGCGGTGTCATGTCACCTCAAAAACACCCGCGCACCTCCTGGGAGCCTCACACACAGATAGAGCTAGAGTGAATCTTTGGTAATTCGGAAGTCGGGGGGTGTTTGGCTAGCTTTGAGTCTTGGACTAGTAGGAGGATATTATGAGGTGGAATTAATCGTGTTTAGCTATTGTTGGTTGTATATCTATATATATTATGTTCTATTGCCGGCCGGGGATGTGGCGGAGAGAATTTACTCACGGCAACCTGCTCGAGACGTAGGCAGAGCTCGAAGCCTACGGTTACTTTGAAGGGACCCCAGGCGGTGGAATGGTCCTCTTTTGCCATGGACCCATCCGAGATGAACACATGGCTACAAAGAATTTAGCAGGCTTTCGATTGGTCATTGATCGAGTGATATCCTGTGATCCGAATTCGAATTCAGACAAGCACATAACTACAGTACACGGGGTATTGAATCCAGAGCCCAAGTTGATTATATGTAAGTACAAGTACATACTGCATCTGAATACAAGTACATGTATGTATCTAGCTCTTAATGTGCTGACGGTATCTATAAAGAACTAGCACCGGCTTGGGAACCGCTTTTTAATTCCCCAGAATCCTTCTTCTTTGAATTCCCCTCTCTCTATATATATATGCGTTCTTTAAATTTCTCTCTATATATTCGTGCTCCGGAGGATTGAGCCTCGGTAGGTCTGCTAACTAACTGTCCCTTCTTCCAGCTTCTTCCACGCAGGAGGCTAGAACCTTATTAATCTCACTGTCGTTATATTGTGGATACATACATGTATATATACTGCATGAAACTAGCACGTTGTCAACTTGGAGTTTAACGTGTTTCCGCTTTGATCCCAGGTACTACATGTAGCTTTACATGCGACATGCACACGGCGTACCCGGCTGGCCCGTGTAGATTAGGCCGAAGGCTAGTCGGCCGGCCGGGCAAGTAGGCGACGTAACCGCTCTTCAGATGTAGGCTGTATGATATATCACCGGAGCGACATATAACATGTGTAATTATATAAACATTTGAGGCGTCCGGCTACGGTACGTATACATGTCTGATTATTGGCCTGAAAAGTGACCGCCGCTCGCGGTAACAACTCCTCTGAAGGGTGGAGGGTATTAACTATATACGTATATATATATATATATGTATACATTATTCTGTCCCTCAATACAAGCCAGTTTGAAATCCCTCCAACATTATTTATAATGACATATGCATGCTGGGAAAGCACAGCTGATCCCTTGAATATGCATTTCATCCAAAGATGCGAACACCAATATCGAGAATTTGTACTGGAAAATCTTTATGGACGCTACAGGGATAAGTTGATAAGGAAAAATATGAAATATAAACGCAACTAAACTATAAAATGACTGATAGGAATCTGATAGTAATCCCCGTGCTCGTAATACATGATTATGAAATATGAATGCCTTATGCGCAAACCAAACAACATCGTTACAACTGCCACTATCGAACGCGCGCAGAGGCAGCCAGACCCTCAGAAATCCTCTTCTTCGTAGATCAGTTATAATGACATTATAATACATTAATGCCTTTGTCAATGGGCCCCCCTAGATTTACGGGACAAGATCACCGACTCTAAGTCTTCGGCCTCTTTTAGACGTCCCTGCTTACGGTAGGTAATCGCCAGATTTTTCATGGATGTGAGAGTGTCTGCATGGTCCGTACGAAGGAGCCTCTCCCTCCCAGCCAAAGCCTTCAGATGTTGCTCTTCGGCCTCTTTCAGACGTCCCTGTTTATAGTAGGTACTCGCCAGATTATTCATGGATGTGAGAGTGTCTGCATGGTCCGTACCAAGGAGCCTCTCCCTCCCAGCCAAAGCCTTCAGATGTAGCTCTTCGGCCTCTTTTAGACGTCCCTGCTTACGGTAGGTAATCGCCAGATTATTCATGGATTCGAGAGTATCTACATGGTCCGGACCAAGGAGCCTCTCCCTCCCAGCCAAAGCCTTCAGCTCCAGCTCTTCGGCCTCTTTATAACGTCCCTGCTCATCGTAGGTAACCGCCAGATTATTCATGGATGTGAGAGTGTGTACATGGTCCGGACCAAGGAGCCTCTCCCTCCCAGCCAAAGCCTTCAGATCCAGCTCTTCGGCCTCTTTTAGACGTCCCTGCTTACAGTAGGTAATCGCCAGATTATTCATGGATGTGAGAGTATCTGCATGGTCCAGACCAAGAAGCCTCTCCCTCCCAGCCAAAGCCTTCAGATGTAGCTCTTCGGCCTCTTTCAGACGTCCCTGCTCATCGTAGGTAATCGCCAGATTATTCATGGATTTGAGAGTATCTGCATGGTCCGGACCAAGAAGCCTCTCCCTCCCAGCCAAAGCCTTCAGATGTTGCTCTTCGGCCTCTTTCAGACGTCCCTGTTTATAGTAGGTACTCGCCAGATTATTCATGGGTGTGAGAGTATCTGCATGGTCCAGACCAAGAAGCCTCTCCCTCCCAGCCAAAGCCTTCAGATGTAGCTCTTCGGCCTCTTTCAGACGTCCCTGCTCATCGTAGGTAATCGCCAGATTATTCATGGATTTGAGAGTATCTGCATGGTCCGGACCAAGAAGCCTCTCCCTCCCAGCCAAAGCCTTCAGATGTAGCTCTTCGGCCTCTTTCAGACGTCCCTGCTCATCGTAGGTAATCGCCAGATTATTCATGGATTTGAGAGTATCTGCATGGTCCGGACCAAGAAGCCTCTCCCTCCCAGCCAAAGCCTTCAGATGTAGCTCTTCGGCCTCTTTCAGACGTCCCTGTTTATAGTAGGTAGTCGCCAGATTATTCATGGGTGTGAGAGTATCTGCATGGTCCAGACCAAGAAGCCTCTCCCTCCCAGCCAAAGCCTTCAGATGTAGCTCTTCGGCCTCTTTTAGACGTCCCTGCTTATCGTAGGTAATCGCCAGATTATTCATGGATGTGAGAGTGTCTTCATGGTCCGGACCAAGGAGCCTCTCCCTCCCAGCCAAAGCCTTTACCTCTAGCTCTTCGGCCTCTTTATAACGTCCTACTCTCCAGTATGCAGATGCTACAAATGACATCGCCGCTGTTAAAGTATTTGTCGCACTGCAAGAGCCTAATCTCCCGTGTGGTGTGTCCATAGCTAAGCGATCCTGGGCGTGTATTGAAACCATGTCAATGTGTGCCATAATGCGTTTCTCAAATTTCGTTTGAGCGTAAACATCTACCGTTGTCCGGTACTTGTTATCTATGAATTTGAGAGCGAGATGGATCAACGTGAGAGCTGAATCAGCCATCTCTTCCAACTGCTCTTGACTCATCCGCTTGCGGGCCCACCGGTGAACCAGTGGATGGATGTAAAAACACTCGTCTAGGCCCTTTTGACTGGCTAAAGAGTATGAAAAAAGACTTTGCCGGCACCCATCCAACGTATCTTCTATAAAGCGGTTTGATATTAGTGAATTGAATTATGTTTCTAGAAATACAGGCCTTACCATCCATGCTATCTTCTAACCCATAGCATAACATATCATACCATATATCATTATTTGACAGAAAAGAGCATAATAACAAAAGTCTAGCCGCCTCTTTGTTCTCCTCCTCAATTGCTCGGAATGATATTTCCCAGGTGGTAAACACAGTATCATCTCGATACCTCCAAACCTGGCTGTTTGGGGGTTTTTTTTCCAAAAAGTTTGTCAAAGTTGGTCTCAAAACGTTCCAAGTACCTCCGGAGCGATAGTTTTTGGGCACAAATATAAGCACCAGCTTGGTAGATAGCAAGAGGGAGATATCCTAATTTTTTTGCAATTTCTGCGACCATCACAGAGTCTATAATACCAATATGTTAGTCTGGCTTAGTTATGTGCGTACGTACGCACTGATATTACTTTCCTTCAGAACTAGTGGGTAGGCTGATTTTTGCGCACTTCAGCAGCAACTCGATTCCGTCAGCCTCCTCCATCTCTTCGACTGGTATTCCTGATCCAGCTCCAAGGTCTACACACTCGGGTCTTCTGCTTGTCATAATAATTGTTCCATGATCGCATGTAGGGATGAAAAATGAAATCTTAAATGACTCCAAATCATCAACATTATCAAAGACCAATAACCACCCCGGGTTCTCTTGTTTGCAGAACCAACGCTTCACTGCAGTATTAGCTGTCTCAATATCCGCGCACAACTTTCCATCCGAGTCTAAACCTTTGGGCATTCCAAGGGACTGGGCAATTTGTAGATAATCAGGGGAGGTGCTACTCTGGTTTATGGCGTAATGCTGAACTATTCGTTGCAGTATGCTTCCAAAGCTTTGATTGGTGGTAGCGAGACTAGTGGCGTTGACCCAGAATACAGATGTGTAGGAAGTGTGGTTTTTGTATACATATTGGAGAGCTATCTCGGTCTTTCCGACACCACCGGTGCCATAGATAACCGTGGCTTGCCTTTTGGGGGGATTCTTGGTGGCAAGAGTGCTGGTGAGGGTTTCGAGGAAGTTTTTACGGCCGGTGAAGCGGAGGTTTTGAAGCCACTGGTGGCCAAGCTCAAAAGGAATTTTATACATTGTAGGAACATTTTGTGGGGTTGGTGACTGAAATGGATGAGAGGGATGGGTATGGGGGTCGTGGTTTGCGTTTAGCTGGTTATATTCAAGCTGTTGGAGTTTTGCACCTGTATTCAAACACTGTGAGTGACATGTATTTTGAGCATAATAGCAACCGGCCCATACTAATTACATGAGGGATATCTTTCAAGATCTGGCGCAAATGTCCGATCACAGAGTGATATGGAGAGTTTCGGTGGTTCGCAAACTTGACCATCATCGAGTGATCTAATTGAACCGGGATTCTGTGTTCATTCGGGAGGTTCAACAAGGCAGAATTCTCGTTTACCATTTTCTCTGCCTCACCGTCTCTCTTGTATTCGCCTGTGCGAAGCTTAAGATTTTTTTTGATTAGCTTCTGCATCTATAGTTGGTTCAGTAGAGAATTCATACCCTCTTGAGTGCGGGTGTGTTCTTTTTTTCGTAGAAACTAATTATTCTTGGAATGCTTGGCAATAGATGAGCCATCTCATCCTTATGAACAGCCATAAAATCTGACTCCGGGTTGAGATATTGCAGTAAATTCAACATAGCGTGTCCCCCCCCCAAGTTTTTCTTCAACCATTTGTGTTAACTGGGAAACATCAAACCCCTCATGCGGAGTTCCGAACAATATCAAGGCGTGCGTGGAGTCAAAAATATATCTTTCGATCTGATTGCCTCGACTCGCGCGGGATAGTGTCTAGTGGAGACTAAGTTAGCAATGTTATCCGTGAGTTATGGAAATAAAATATTTAAACCTTCAATACAAGAAGACCACCGAAGCTGTGCCCGATAAATATTATGGGTCTATTCCTTGTACTCTAAAGAAGCTTTTAGTGCGCAATTCAATACAAGTAATATGGAATTCTGCGGATATATACGTACGTTTTCTAGGCTTCGCACATGCAATATGCTTTCCATGAACATCCTGCTATGATCCAGCACCGAGTATCCCCCAGTAGACCTTTCGAGGTTAGTATCATAACCATATAACATCACTCTGATTCCTTTAATATCGAAGGGAAGAAAATCCATCAACCACATCCTCCCGGTCACCCTATCCTTCCAGGATCCAAAGGCATGTCCTCCGAGACCAGATACTGCTATCACGCTGATCTTACTTAGTACTCCACAGAATGCACTATTTTAGGGTCTAGCTATAGTCAGGGCTTACTCTGCAAGAACCTCTCCGTCCGGTGTATTTAATGGTGTGAACCCATAAAAATTGCAATCGACCCACAGATAGAGATCATTCCCCTCTGAGCCACCACCAACTAATGATACGCATTTAGGTATAAACCGATCAATACCCCTAAAGAATCCCGGCTGCTTATTCAAGTTCAATAACGCAGTCTTCGTTGAACCATCAAATTCCGAGTGTAATGTGAGTTGTTCCACACATTCACGCAGATCCTCGAGCGATTCGATCTTTTGCAAAGCATCCAGTAGGGTGTTTTTATCCCATGTATCTGGGATTTCGGTTATCCGCCAACATTTCGTCGCTTGTGTTGAAATATGAACTCCAGATAGTTCGGAGGAGATGGTAGTCATGTGTTAAGGAACGGCTGTGTCGGGGGGGATGGATGTACGTACTACTGTCGCTGAAGATCGGAGGGTGGATAGAAGAGGGGTGAGGTAGATTATAATGAGTGATTGCTTGCTTTAAGTGGAGGAAGTCCATCGGTATTTAGCCCAATCATCCTTCTCTACGTATTGTCCTAATGCAGTTATGTACCCCGCTTCAAATGTAGGAACCTATTATCTGGGATGGGTTAGGGTTTGTCTAAAAGGGCATTTTGTTGCATGCGGGAAAGATTTGACTAGGTGGGCTCTGGCCGGCTACGCCTGGTATAGTTAAATACATGTTTGGGCACCTGAGTGATCTTTCATGATTTGTATGCCCACATACAACACCGAACGGAACTTTATTCACTTATTCATATAGAAGCTTAAGGTGTATGCATGTAATAATACCCAACCTACATACTACTACGTATAAGATCATATACTAAAATTTGTTAAACATCTAAACTAATTATTCTACCTTCCATTAAACCTCCCTTAAAGAAATCCTCTGCGCTAACACTAATCCAAGTAAGAATTCTGTGGTTCTAACGAAATCCCTTCTTCCAACGTTTGTAATTCTTCAGCCAGAAGTTGAGTCGCATCGTTCACAAAGTAAGCAATAGCTTTCATAGCTTTGAGCCGAGTGTATGCGTGGTTTCCTTTCGGTAAGGTGCAAAGGCGATTCTTCTTGTGGTTTTTACTGTGCTTTCCGAGTAGTCCAAACAAGTACTATCAAATATCAAAAATATCAGAAAGAAATTCAGGCGGTACGATGTGGAGTGCTTTTACCTCTGAATTAGAGTAAGGTATGACTGTATCGACCTTTCCACAGACCATGAGAACTTGCCGATCCCGCAACTTGTCCATAATCTCGGTCGATACAAAAACGTCAAACCGGGAACCCCTCATAAATGATATCCAGTTCGGTCCCCACGCAAAGCAGCTGGTGTAGGCAGATATGAGAACGACCTTCTTGAAGCGATACTTCTCCCTTGCCGCAAGCGCTATTGTTGGTCCACAGCCTATCTTTGTCAGCTACCAGACGATGACGCGCCGAGCCGTTAATCTCGGGCTTGGCCTCCTATCTTTCATGTTGTAGGACTCGGCGTTGGGGCCGCGGTCAAACTCCACAATAGAACCTACCGGCGGAATTTCCAAGCAAACATATTTGCTCCTCCTCCCAGGACTTGTCCCTTAGCATCTCCACGAGCTTCTCAAGATCTGCCATGATCCTGTCCTCGGTGACAGGGCCGGGAGTATTTCCGTATCCAGGGTAGTTATGGAGCAGAATCGAGAGCCCCCATTCGGTACCCCATGTTCTCCACTGATCGACTGATTTCTGATCTAGTGTTCTTTGTTGTCCATGGCTAACAAGAATCATAGTATTGCTCCCTTCGATACTGGCCCTATTAGATATATATAGTTCCTGGGGGCGCGGGGGTTTTGGGGGGGGGGGGGGGTTAGGGAAGCCTACTTGATCTCGACATATTCGATACCTAATGGCGATTTCTCATGCCTGGGTAAAACCTTGACTTCTTGAGTAATCTTTCCATTCCTGACTCTTGACATTATATTCCCCGGGAAAAAGGCTTTTGTAAAAGCTCGGGATATGAGAACCGTCAAGATAAACATTGTTGGTGCGATAAGCAAGCGATTACGAAGCGGAGTGCTAAGAAAGCTACTTTGTGGTCAGTTACGTATACTACCTGATTCGGGAGTATGTAGGATCGATGGTATAAGTGGGTATTTGGTGGTGGGATAATGCTCATGATTAGTTGATGTCGAATATAAATCCTTGACTTATCAGCGCAAGGCACCAACACTGGCATTGAAGGCAGCAACAGAGCCTACATTTAAATATGCTTCATACTATTGTATTTTTCAAATGAAAAAAGAAAGGGAAGAAAGGGAACTACATACATAAAAAGGTGTAATTCAGACAAATTAGTCTAATTTAAAGAAGTTAATTCTAGTATGCCTTCCAATAGAATGATCGCGAAATCGCGCGCGGCTCCTTTGAGAATTAACCGACCGGCTTTCGGGATAAGGTATACGTATACGACGTGGGATAGCCAAGCTGCCTGCTCGATCGCGATTTCTCAGCTGATTCACACGCACCTGCAGAGACTCGGTCGCGTCAAGGCTGATGTCGCTCTCTTGCCCACGAGCGAGAGATGGCAGTGTCTGTAGTTGTTGTTGAGGTGTTTGTGGAGATATCCGGATGGCATGTGTGGTTGAGCCTTTGATCATGGGGCGCCGCAGTAGCTGAGCGCGGCGCTTAAATTACAATGTAGTTACCCTGTACCTAGTATTAACGCATCATATGTTCCAGACGTTTCATTCAATTGATCAGCTGCTGTATCAAGTGATAATTCGCATCAATTGAAATATTATTTAGTGATTAGAATCAGTTTTTATACATAATCTCCATCTAGGATATTTCTGCATAGTGACATCTCTTGCAGTTGTGTGACAAAAATCTAGACCAAAGCCTGTAACTGTCAGCTAGCTACATATATTAGTACTGAGTTCTACGCCTGCCGGGGTAAGTCTGTTCAGTAAGAACCGTTGCGACTCGGCCACTATTTAAATCGTGTCAACAGCAGGCGCAGTATCTACTACATGTACATGTACATTCACGTGCACTGAGCTAGTATTTACTAGGAACGATTCAAATACTTGCTTGGCGGCCAAGTGGCCCAATTGCAGGCCCTCCCAGCCCAAAATGAGGTTCTCAGTACTGCGCTGTTAGCTGTGCATCCCAAACCCCGGTACGTGGTATATACAACTATTAATCTACGCATGTAGTACTCAGGCTCATGCATTCACTTAATTTCACAACTGTCGCTTAGGCTAGCATACCTCACAGCGCAGCCGCCACAACCCCAAATATCAATATTATTGTTTACGGATATACTCTATCTTTGGACATATATATATATGCAGCGACCCGGAACTTCTATGGGCGAATGCACAAGGTTAAGATTCACTGATCATGAGCTAGGTGTCCAACGTGCGCGCAACAGCCCGAGTACCGCTGCATATATATATATACTGATCAACAAACTAGCCACGCTTAATTATAAGCACCCTTCACTATAGCACAGAACATCTTACCTACGTGCAGGTGCGGTCACCAAACCCACGCACGGACACCACCAGGTCCAATGTTTCGAAGTGGTGACCAATCAGTATTAAAGGATTAATTTTATCCATCAGAGAGAGGTTATCAGCGTGGCAGCAAGTCGTTGAGTCCTCTCGGGGTTGCGGCTAGTTTTAGTTTCCACAGCCGGAGAAATTACATATTAATCTTGCGAATTATCTTTATGATCCGGGATCGTTCAAATCACTCTTCACAAATATCACTCGGACAACTCTTGGGTGATTGTTGAATTATGGTTTCTGAGTCTAGGAATATCGTTAATTATACGATACTGTGAAGCTTTTGGAATATGTCTTCAGGTCCTATGGAATATTTACTCATTTATGAGTATCTAGGGCCAGGTGGTTTGTACTGCCGCATTCGAAAAGTTTTGGCACCTCCGGGCCAAACTCACGAGGCAGTCCTTTCTGCGTTGCAACTCTCATATTAGAGACCGTTGTCAGAGAGAGCTGCAATGTCTCTATTGCGGTCATACCTGTCAATAAGTTGAGTATGCGCGAGTGTCATGGTTGTTGGTGGGCTACAATTCATAAACGACTCAATATAGTACGGTGCCAGTACTTTTCGAATGCGGCTGTGCTATACTCATGGGAAACGCCTCGTATTTCTCTTCGTTTCACACTCTTAAACGCTAATATTTAGTATACATACAAGCACTGCTCAGATATATAGCTTCCAAGGATATTCAACAGACTAGCCATAAATCTGTTCTTGAAGTGTTTAATCCAGGTTATATTTGGGGACGTACTATCAACTTATCACGGACCACAGGTATCTAAGATGACGGACAGCTATAATGAGCTAGATAAGCTACCTACCTTTTCCTCACTCCATATTCTCACACTATGACCTATAATCTAGTACATTTATATCCAAGAGTCATCATTATATATATATATAATGTTGACTATGTTCTCAACTTCTCCGGTCATCTTGAGAATTGGTCGTCATTACTCGCCGCCAATTAAACTAACTGATTCTCAGACATATGCCGGCGAATACTTTGATTTTGATTAGGAGGCTTACCTTCATCGTCGATATATCTATAGGGTAGTATATATTAATGTAGATCTAGGAAGCCAAAATACATATGCATGGCCGAGCTTTGCGTTACTAGAAGGATACATGCAGGTGTATATGTACCGGGCGATTCGCAAATATGGCGGATTCGTGAATGGACTTGACAAATTCGCTAATGGACTTGAGGTATTCGCGAATGGACTCCTAGGCTCATACATCTGTGGCTGGACCAGTCTATTCGCGAACAGCCCGGGGAAACTGTTGTAAATTGTTCAAAACTGATAACTAACAATGATTTATATCAACCCCCGACGGCTGCTACAATCACTGGAGACCTCTCAAAAAAAACCAGCAACCCTGAAGTGCAACCCTGAAGACCAAATCTAGAACAACAATAGCATCTTTAAGATCTTTAGCGAGCATCAGTGACATCCAGTGGTCTCTATCAGCCTCAGCGACCTCTACAACCTTTTATTAGGCCCTAGGACCACTAGTAGAGCCCTATGATCTCTTGTAAAACCCTAGGACCTCTATTAAAGCCCAGGCGTTTCGGGTGTTGGTTCAAAGACTCAATTTCACTACCTTTTATCCAGTCCATTCGCCAATGGGCCGGTCCAGTCCCAGATGTATGGAGCAAGCAGTCCATTCACGAATCCGAGCTATTTGCGAATGGCCCGGAACATATATTCAAGCATGGGTCATATCCTCAATTTCTAGCGTTGAATCTATGTGGTTCACATATCTTCCTCACTCAATATTTATTTGTTTGCACATTAATAACAAAATAGATCTTATGAATTTAGAACCCTGGAGGAGTTAGATGCTAAATAATACACATGGCCCACAGTGATCATCCACCTGCATTTATCCTCCGGCTCCCGCAATGTTCATCCTCCACGTGCACTATAGTACCAATATTAAGTAGTATATAACGCTCAATTTTAACATGTACAACAGGTAAAAGGTTCTCTAATTCCCTCTTTTTTTTTTAATCTCACCTCATATGGTTGTTGCTTCAAACCTCTTGACCATATCTGTCGAAGCTGGACCAGGACTTACACTACTGGGCTGCTTTTTTTGCAGCGGGGCCAATTAATAGCAGAGGTTTTAATAGGCCAGCCCGGGCCTGAAATATGCTTGGACTGGCCCAAGCCCAGAAAACCCACCCGGGGCCTGGCCTGGCCCATATATACGGGCCTAGTCCCGGGATTTTTTGATAATTCTAAAAAAGTATATTTGACTGTTTATTGGGGTGAAATCTCATATTTACTCGAAGATTTTTCTTTTCATAGAGAGAAATGAGGATTGAAGATGATGGATATTCTTAAAATATGCACCATTTCAGCCCATATGAATAACCCATAAAGCCCGGGCCTCAATCGCCTTAGGACCCGGCCTGGCCCGACTTCAGATACCCTGGCCCAAGCCTGGCCTGGAAGGCCGAATCCCGGGCCGGCCCATATAACCTGAGGCCTATCAAAACCTCTGATTAATAGCCATACAGTATGTACTCTAGTTTTCTTCCCACTATACATTGTAGCGTCCACAACACAACTCACTCGTCGCAGCACTGCGCTCACCTCAAGCAGGAAACCCCGACAACCTCGAGACACCATCTGTTGGATATATCATTTCAAGTACGAGCGAGTGACGCACTATGACGCACCCCCGGTCTGCAATGGGATTAATGTCAAGCTGCTTAAGCACGGTATCGATGTTGACGTACTCCGATAACAGTATAGCCTGGCCTATTTTGAATTGGAGGAATTGCATTATTTAGCAGACGGTATGCACTCATGTAAATACACTACGGTGGGTTTAGTTGTCTATGAGTTAGTTGTAACAGGCCCGGCGGATATATGCGTACTGTACTGACTCTATAATTAATGTTGATCAATACCGTTCTCTAGATATATATAGTAACATCTTGTATGATGCGAGAGGTATAGCCAGTGGGAAGAACATTTCCATGAGTACTCAAAATCTCTTTAGTGGGGGGAAATGAAAAGGCAGAACATTTCCTTAAAGCACGCGTAGATAGTCGCGGCAAAGAAACTTGCACCCACAGCCACGAGAGCGCGCAAAAAAAAAAAAAAAAAAAAAAAAAAATTAAAACTCCTTAAGGTTCTCGTATAGTAAGAACGGGGGATCGAGCTACTTGCACACGCGTTTTCGTGACAAAAGGCGAGTATTAAATCCCTTTCGCTAGGGCCGAAGTACTGAAACGTTTGCCATGATTTTCGCAGTAGCGCATCTTCTCGTATACAGAGCTTCGAGCACGCAATCAGTACTAGTAACGAAGACATATCAATTCCCATACGAGTACATTATTTCCCCACAAAAAGGAGTGAGTATTGCCGATGACTACCCGAACGCCGATGTCGCGTAATTGGATTGGTATCCCTTTACTAGAATATAGCCAGGCTAGTAGCATTATTTTGCGCTATACGCGCGCATTCGATCCAGGATAATAACGTAGCTGATGAATATCACCACGCTGGAAAACGGGGAGAATACGAGTGATGGACTGTGCACCAAATTAGAAGCGCGCTCCTCGATCCTCCACAGTTCCACGTCAAGTTTAGCTGATAAACAGAGAGATTTGACAGGCACAGAGCAGAAATTGAACGTTACCAGGCTAAACGCCTTGAAGAGATAATTGCACATATATCCGAGTTCCTATATATCTGCTTTAAGCTTCGATCTTGATTAATGAACCGTAATGACTCTGCGCGGCAAATTACCAATCATTTAAATTTCAACCTCGATGGTAGCCCACCAGCAAATCATCTAGGCCTATGTAGGTAGGCAACATGGTAATCATCCAGAACAAGAGTCCCAATTCGAGCGACAAGCGCCAAAACCACAGTAACCCTCACCTTCCCCCTTCTAAACATCAAAATGAGACGACAATAATAATAATAATAATAATAAAAAAAATGACTTTTCAGATTCCATCGGCAGCGACGGGCCGCACGGCCACCGCATTCGCGTGACTCCCTCCCCACACCGCGGTACCCCGAAGTACCCATCGCAAATTAAATCTTCAAGATAAAACGTCCCTGACACGCGTCCACGTGCGTCTGTACCACCATCACGACTCACCCCCTTCCCTCCTCGTCCCTGGCACCCTCACCAGGATCAACCCTGCAGCTGGGCCTCATCTCTTTTCCAAGGGCCTTCTAGAAAGAAAGGAACAAATTATCTCTCGTGCTCCCACATTCGGTTTCAAGATAAACTATTGTTAGCTGGTCGCTCGCTCTAATCCTAGGGATTCTTCAGCCTCACTTTTAAGCTGAGGTCGGCGTGGATCGCGACGAAATGATTAAATTCCTCAGCCATGGGTGGCGCTTCAGCTGAACACATCCTGCATACATACACAGTTATCTTGACGTCAACCATCCCCCCTCCCCTCCCACCCCCCTCCCACTCCTATCCCCCCCCCCCCCCTCCCATCCCCCCCGCAACCCCTCCTCCAACACCCCCCCCCCCCCCCCCGGGGGCTGATACCTCGCCGACCCCGACGATCGATGCTGTGTACGTATCTCTCAGGATACATACGAAACCCTCCGCAGTATGCATCAGTTACACATACATAACCTCTAAACAGCCCAGACATCGGGTCTCGGAGTGCAATACACCGCCATCGAACGACAGCGCTCACCGCCGACCACTCCCTGAACCCAGGAGGAGGGCATTCCGTTTCCCCGCCTGGGTGGGGGGGGGACGCACGTGCGACTAGGCCAGTGCTGCGTTCGATGTTTCCCGGCGTTGTGGTATCGGAATGGGGAATCCAGGGACAGGGAAGCGCACGAGTTTGTAACACCAGGATTTTCCGGGATGCTTGGTTCGACCCCGGCGCTGCGAAAAATAGACAGCACTCGAGAGAGAGAGAGCTGTTTGGTGAAACGTTAGTTTGGAGTTTCACGATGGAATGGATTAGATAGGAGGGGGTCTGTAGGGCAGGGAATCCTCGAGGTGGCAGCCACTGAGGAGAGGAGTTAGATGGCGGGGGGTCGAGGGAGCGGTGAGAGTCGAGGTGAGGTGAGGCGATGGAGATGAGATGAGGCGAGGCGGACTCGAATGGGGAGGGATAAGTGGTACGGGGGAGTGGAACGATGGATGTGTGCAATGACACGGTCGAGCGGGACTTTGCGATTGCAAATTTCGATGGTGTGACAGTAGTCAGTCGTCTTGATCATGAGCGAGGATGGCTTGGATAGAGCTGATCTACTAATCCAGCCCGGCCCACGATCACTCAAAGCACATGAGGACATGTACAACACAGGGAATCATTATGGAATGGAAGTACAGCCAGCCACTCAAGACATTGTGTTAGAATCATCAGACGGAGACGTACTGCATCCACAGTAAAGGTGCATCCTGGAAGGCGGGGGAGGGGTGTGGGGTGTGGGGTTAGGGGCCACATACCGAGTACATACATGTATTTTCGTCTTGCTGGGGGGAAACAGAGCCGGGCCGGGTATTCCTAGCAATTGGGACAACACGCAACGTATAACATTCTCAAGAATAGCGAGAATCAACCAAGGCCAACGCAAAGGTACCGCGCATCTCAAAACCACAACTAACATACATGTACGTACATCCGACGCAAAGGTACCGCGCATCTCAAAATCACAACTAACATACATGTACAGTCCCTACCCAGATGTCTTCGTGATTCGGGTGGTACAGGGCGCAACGGCAACGGCAACGCTCGTGAACAACGAACGAACGAACACTCGTCGACGCTCGGCATTCAATGATCAACGATCAATAAATACTCAATAAATGAATTAAATATGTACATGTATCTTAATATTTAGTTTGCCACCCACCCGCTGCAATTACTGCAGCAACTCTATCAGGCATTGATTTCCACAATCTCTCAAAGAAATCTTCAGGAATAGTGTCCCAAACCAAAGGCAAGACTTCAGCCAACCGTTCCTTCACCCTTTTAGGACCTCCAGGAGTGTTTTTTATATTAGGATACTGACTTTGGAAGCGCTTTTTGAGCTCCACCCATACATGTTCAATAGGATTTAAATCAGGAGAATAAGGTGGGTGATTTTCAACAACAATATCAACCCCAGGCACTTCAAACCATTCAGTAACAATATGAGCCTTGTGGATTGGCGCATTGTCTTGCATAAATCGAGGATTATCTACAGTATCCTTGACCCGGTTGAGGACAGGTACAAGGAGATACTGCAGCATCTGTAGATAAACGTATTTGTTGACAGATTTGACAATTAAAGGTGTGAATGTGCCGCGATTCCTCCCCCAAAAGCATCCCCATACCATCAGCGATACCCCTCCACCATTCTTTTTAGGATCTATACACTCGTGCACCCATTTTTCTGGAAGAGTACGAAACACCCATAATTGATTGGGGTTACGTGACTTCTCCACACTGCACTCATCACTCCAGACAACACCTTCAAAATCATCAGCCGTCCAGTGTTGCCTTTCCAATGCCCAAGCTAGTCTCCTCCTTGCGTCTGATGCTGTCAATGCTGGCCGCTTCTTTGCTCTCCATTTTTTGATTCCTCGCTTTCTCAATACTCTATCGACGGTGTGTAAGGAGACTTCAGGGGCATTGCCATCGCGTAATTGCCTTCTAGACATGGTTCGGGTATTACATGCAGCCCGAATCAATTGTTGTTGCTGCTCCTGATCCAATTTCTCAGGTCGTCCAGGACGCGTCAGGTTCTGTATAGTGCCTCGTTCATTTGCGCGGTCGAGAAAGCTTTTAATTGTTGACCATGGTCGCTGCATAATTTCTGCCACCTCGGCAACCTTCCCAGTTGTGTGGTAAAGAGCAATAATCATGCCTTTTTCTAGTCGGCCTAGCTGCCTTCTAGCTGTTCTAGGTCTCTTGCTAGGCGGTAGTGGTTTCCTTGGAGTCGCGTCAGCTGGATTAAACAAGGGGGGCATGGTCACGGTTGCTGGGCTGGGGATAGTGTATCGATTGTGAGTAAATTCGTGGGGTTTTGAGGTTGCCGCCGAGCCACCGGAATCACGAAGACATCTGGGTAGGGACTGTACGTACATACATACATACATACATACATACACGAGTACACGCAATAACGTCTATTGATAGCTCGCACGCACTAGCTCAGGGTTAGGTCCATGTGAACTGGTGCACGCGTATGTGTGTACTTGCACGTAGCACTCACTCGGGTACTCCACATGCATCCAGCCACAGTCCATCTGGTTAATGGACCGATCCAAATACATGTATTGAGTATTGAGGCTCCTTGATGTAATGAGGCTCATTCCCGTGGTGGTGCCGGGTAACTAGCCCAGCCCCGTGATGACCTCACCCAAGACAGCACCACCACGCGCGTGTGTGTGTGTAGATAGCTAGGCAAGACACACACGACATCAGAGCAGATACCGAGCTACAACTACAACAATCAGTGCCATTGAAGCCATACACAACCCCTTCGCTCCAGGCTAGGATATCTGGGTTACTCGTCAAATCCACAATTGCTTCAACAGCTCACATATACTATAGCTTAGTGCTCTGCAAAGTAACCGCGAATCTGGGCCCCCGCACACGGATCCGTTCCTCGCTTTCCCACCTCCGCTTCCTCCTCTACCCCGGCCTCCGCGCCCGCTTCTCCAATCGCCTCTACAAGCTCGTCACCTTCGCCAATAGCCGACTCCGCCCCCGCGGCCCCGTCCGCCCTTCTCTCTCACGGAGCTTTGTCAAGCGTGGCCATCTCGAGTGGCGGAACGATCACTGGGAACGGGCCACCTGTCTGCGCACTCGAGCAGCCCACCGACATACCGAGACCACGGGCAGCGGCGCGATGCAGGCCCCCGGCGATGCGGGAAATAGTTGGGGAAGCTATTACAGGTCGTTTACTGGTGGTGGTGGGGACCCAGCGGAAGGCAGCCGAGAGCCGGGCACTAGGAGGAAGAAGATTGCGGGTTACCTGAAGGCTGCCAATGATCTGAGGCAGAGCTACTATTCGGGGTATGCGAATCGGGCCAGCGAGATGGAGGGCGGTTACAGCGGTGGCACGGACCAGTCGTCGGGCTCGTGGCCGGAGATGGAGGTTGCGAGGAGCGGCGATGAGGAGCTTGTGCTGTTCCCGAGCTATGCCAGACGGCGCCCAGATGAGGACAATGCGGTTGATGTGGAGATCCGGGGCTGGCTCTTTGCCCCGCACTCGGGCCCTCTGAGCCGGAAGAACCGATACCTCCACTGGGTCGCCCTTAAGCTCTGTGGACTCCCTGCGCAAGCTTCTGCCCAGCCCGGGGAGCCCGACAGGGGCCCCACAGCTGCAGAGGCAGAGGCAGAGGCAGAGGCAGAGGCAGAGGCAGAGGCTGCGAAAGAGGCTGCGGCAGCTGTCGAAAAGAATGGCAGACCTCCGTCGCTCTATTCGTCCGACAGCAGGATGGAGAGCCTGTCCAGGACCAACTCCGCGCCCATGAACGCCGCCGCCGCCGCCGCAGCAGCAGCAAAGACGTTATCCTGGCGCCCAGCCATGGTGACCAACGCAAGCACCCAATCATTGCCGCAGGTACCGCAACTAGACCCTGCCGAGATTGCATCTGCGCATGCAGCGCTTGCTGCGCGTCTCGCGCCCTTCATGCATCGTCCCATTCCCAACACCCGCATCACCATAACCTTCAGCGACGAATCCGCGGGATCCTCGCAGTCGTTCACTGTCTTCACCTCCGAGACCGGCCACTTCTCCTTCCAAAGCGATCTTCCCTTCATCCCTACCACTGTCCGCGTCGTTGCCTCGGAAAGGATTTCGGCAACTGAAGATGTCATCATTCATGAGCCGACCGGAATATCGCTGATATCGGATATCGACGATACGGTAAAGCATTCAGCCGTGTCCATGGGCGCGCGCGAGATATTCCGAAACACCTTTACGGAGCCCTTATCGAAGCTTAGCATCCCCGGTGTTTCAGGCTGGTACAAGCGGCTGTCCCAGGAGCCGTATAACGTCAATTTCCACTATGTGTCAAACTCGCCATGGCAGCTATACCCCGTGCTCAAGTCGTTCTTTGAAGAATCCGGGCTTCCGCCGGGCAGTATGCACCTCAAAGAATACAGTGGCATGCTTCAGGGCATCTTCGAACCTGTCGCCGAGCGCAAAAAGGGCGCGGTGGAGCGGGTGATTCGAGACTTTCCTCGGCGCCAGTGGATCCTGGTCGGGGATTCTGGTGAGGCAGATCTGGAAGTTTACACCGAGATTGTCGAAAAGTTCCCGGGTAGGATCCTGGCCGTTTTCATCCGGGACGTCACAACAACTTTGGCACCCGACGAAAAGGAATTCTTCAACCCAAACGAATCGCCCGAGTACGCCAAGGCAATGCAAGAATGGGCAGAGGCAAAAGCAGCCAGTGTAAAACAGCCCAAGATTCCCCCGCCACTACCTCCGAAGCGTAAATCTGTCAACCACACAGTAACCCAAACCCAGCCAGAAGAACGCTCCCGAGAGACACCAATAGCAGGGGCCAAGACACCCCCTCCCAGGCCTCCCAAGCCCCCAAGCCTCCGGGACACCATGACGGCACCAGCTGCCAAGTCATCCTCCACCACCGACCTCCTCTGTACTCGAAACTCTCCACCGCCGCCCCCGCCGCCAAGACGCACGGCTACCTTCTCATCCAGTGAGCCCCCCAGTATTGTCCCACCGTCGCCTGGGCCACTCCAACACTCTGCCACTACTGCTTCGTCGTCGCCCGCACCGATGACGCAGAAGCAGCAGCAGCAACAGGCGCAGCAGGAGGTGCTACTGAGTAAACGCGAAGAGCTGTGGAACCGTCGCTGGGAGCGGGCTCTGATGATTATGGGGCACTACGACGTTCAGCTACATAGTTGGAGGACGGGCGGGGATGTAGAGGCCATGTGTAGAGCCATTGTAGAGAAGGCCCTGTGGGAGTAAACATACATGATGGGTTGGAGTTAGTTCTTTTGTTTTTACCTGCTATTATTTTTTTTCTTTACTTCTGTGGGTTAGGGGTTTGCACATTGTTTATGGATTATGGACCGGAATGGAATGGCGGCTTCTTTTTTTTTTTTTTTTTCTTTCACGATAAGGGAGGGCGCTCTGTACTATATTATTTTTATTTCTATCTCCCCCTTTTTTTTTTTTTTTTTTTTGCTGTTTCCTCTTGGACGTACATGTTGATGCTTGAAGGATTGATGAGGGTTTCTTGAAATACATACACGGATGGAACGTCTCCTTCTTCGCACCTTTGCGCTCTTTTTTTTTTTTTTTTTTTCTTACGGCCAGGTGAGAGCAATGATTGGGGGCATATACATACATATGTAATCATGTTACTTTTCTGTAGGTGTCCGGATCCCAATTCTTCGATGTCCGAAGAATTCTAATGGACCTTGTGACAGTCGCAATCCTCTACGAAGCAGCATGCAAGCCTCAGTGAGGTATAAGGTATAGTAGCTAGAACACACGTCCCCATATATCCGACTGCCCGAATAAGCTCTACCATGTACATGCAGGTTATCAAGTATCCTAACTACATGTATCCACGGATGCTAGCTGATTCAATGTTACCCCCGTAACACGGCCAACAAGCTGCATCACCACCCATCACTCATACCCGCGCGGTGAAGAACCAAACCACACACCCCCCTTCGCCAAATACCACCATGTATACACATCCGCAGTTTCAAACCACATTCCTCCCCCGTCTACCCGGTTAATTAAAGCCCACGCAAGGCTGATTCAAGAACGAACAAGATCTCGCTCGCTCAGGAGCAATGTCGAGCCGAGCAGCAGCGCAGCGATCCACAGCAGGACATCCAATATCGTATATATGCACATGTGCAACAAACGACAAAAGACAAGAAAGAGGGAAACCTGAAACTTCGTACCCTCATCGTTGTTTTGGTTTAAACGTTTTTTTTTATTATAATCATTTTACCCTCTCTCTATCTCTCTCACTCTCCTCACTCTCCCCACTTCGTGTGTGGAACGATTATGACAGGTGATTCGCAGGATGGGGCAAAAGATCGGCCTTCTAGAATGTTTGCGCGTAGTAATCGTGCCAAGGCCGCCGTCAGTGTTACTAGCTGTTTGGGAATCTGGACTTGGGGGGAGGAGAGGAGAGGGGAGGGGAGGTTGTTTCGAGTGCGGCTAGGGATGAGGCTGAGATTGTGCAGGGGTGCTTAAGGGTAGAGCGGGTATGTACAATGTTCGTAGAGTAGCGTACAGATGTAACCCCCTTCCCTGGGTGGGTATCACGGTGACGCCGGAATCACGCAGTTACGCTGCATGATGGAGTATAGAGCAGGGGGGAGATCGGGATGGTGGATGGCTAGAGTTAGAGTAGTAGGTCACCATGCCTGTCTGTCTGTCGGGGCTGGATGCCTATGTACCCATCTGGCTGGATGGATGGCTCCTGCCGCCGGCAGTTATTCCCCTGCCAAAGAAAACAGTTCCTTCTCTACGTCTTCTCCCGCGGCTTCGACGCCCCCAATTCACCACCGATCGATTGCATGCTCCAGGGGTGTGGTTTGGGGGGGGGGGGGGGAAGATGGCGAGATGAGATAGAGAGGAGGGGGGGTGGGGGGGTTGTGCGTTTCCAAATGCGTCCATCACTTCTATTATTATTCCTTCTTCGTATGAAGGAGAATAGGAAATAGAAATAAAAATAAAAAAAACACGGACGGGCGTTGACGTTCCCGAGATGAGATGAGTATGAGGGGGGGGGGGAGGGGAACAACCCTTCGTTCGATCCACCTTCACGACATCTCCTCCCCCTCATCGCGCACACGGTATGGTGCAGTCTGCCGAGGCAGCAGCCAGCTACGGGTTTGCCAGATGTACGCCAGCTACCTCATACATACATCCCACCCCCATCTACATCCCATCCTACCTACATCTTACGCAATAGCGAAGGATTCGAAGCCAATCTTGTTTGGCGGTTTCCTTTATATTCCGCCCCAATCTTAATCGCGACTTTATCCACCCGGGGGGGGGGGGTTACTGGGAAGAGGGGACGGCGGTTATCAGCTTATCCAGTCAGCCAGGTCTTGAAGCGAGGGAGTAATTAGTAGGTCGTCACATGGGTCTGCCTCGGGCAATTTGGAATCTGGTAGTTCGAATTGGCGGTGCTTCGAGAGGATCGTGTATGTTGACATCGTGAGGTTGGATCGAGGTGATTAGTTAAAGATGGGTAGGTGCTCGGGAAGGGTTAGGGATGAATATCTGGGTTAGGGGTGAACATCTGGGTTAGGGTTAGAGTATGTATGTAGTCTGCCAGTAGAGAAAGGGAAAGGGTGTGGGGGTGGGGATATGTGGGTGTGTGTGTTTGGGGGGGGCGGGGGGCGGGGGGATCATCTGGCATCACTCGATCGATGAATAGCTAGCCAAGCAGCTGAAGCTGAGCCTCAGTTGTTTCGAGGTTAATATTCACCTTCCCAGCTTCTGGTTCTTCTTCTTCTTCTCCTTCTCAGGTCACACCAACACTGCCTACGAAAGGCCCGAGCAGAAAAGAGAGGAGAGGAGACCAACCAGCTGTTGCTTGAGAGCTACATCTTACCTGTTAGGATGGTTGATATGGTCATTATCGGTCTTTTCTGTGTTAGTGGTTCGCACAGTGCACATCATGCGGCATTCGCTAGAAAAGGTATACGGGAAAGAGGGAGCGAGTGCGCTGGAGAAACAGATTAACGAGCAGAGAGATCGAGAGAGAGAGCTACTAGACTAGAAGGCAAAACAACAAAAAGAACTGCTGAATCGCTAATACTAACCCGTGGGGCAAGAACGTACCCGCTGCCGGCTGCTTTGGCCCTTGATCAGAGCATCGAATCGCCAGTACCGCATTTAGTAGGTATATACATGTGAGGCAGATGTAGGTAGTGTTAGACTACAAACAGAGACCAGTGGAAGCAAAGTGGGTACAGGTAAGAAGAAGGGGAGGAAGTATGTATATTCTCCACCGTACGTGCAGAACTTTCAGCTCTCCCAACTCTTCCGGGCAAGGTAAGACACACACAAAAAAAAAAAAAAAAAAAAAATAGTCCCACCCCGCCCCAGCCTATCCCATCTCATCTCATCTCATCCCACCCCACTCCACCCCACAGACTCGGCACGTAGATACATGTACCACCCACAATTACCCACCATCCGGCAGTCGTGAAGAGACTTGATTCAACAGTCAAGTCATGCATGATCGTTCGTGTATGTGGAGTAACCCACCTGGCCCATCAGAATCACAAATGTCGGAGTGTCACTGGCTGGGCTGGGCTGGGCTGTGTGGCAGGCAGGCAGGCACCTTACATATTATACATGCTTAATTTACATACATCCAAGATTCCCGATCTACGATCTGCTGGGCTGTCATCGGCCCCACACATGCAGGGAAGGCGAAGCATAATTCGTTTTTGCATCCGCTGCATGCATGCATGCAGGCTGATTACCGTCTTGGGGGTGTGAGGTGAAGCAGCATAAGGCCCAAACACATCGCATCCCATCAGACGGATGATGGTGTAGGTATGTGTGGGCCAAGGCAAGACACGATTTCCGACGGAAACATGCAGCTCTTTTGGCGCGTACGAGACAGTTCCGACCATTGACCTCTATAGCTCTATAGATAATTTGTTAATTCTGCTACTGCTCTGTTTTGTTCTGTTGAATCTGTCTTTTTGTTTGTTTGTGTTTGTTGGTGCGAAGCGACAGCCACAGCGACAACGACATGAGCGACAGGAAGTGCAATCTCTTAAATTTCCTGCCCGCGGAGCGCTGGGTTGAGATTAATGTCGAGAGAGAATCAGATCAGGCTGGCCAGGTCTGCGCTCTGGTCTTTGGGCGTGCATGTCGATGGATCCGGAGTCTCGAACTCTTGTAGCCGCCAAACAAATGACAGTATAATATGTCGTATGGAGGGTACACAGGCGGATGATACCAGCTTTCCACCACCCAAGCACGCCTCTACCCAAAAAAAGGATCTCCCTCGCATCTCACCAGAGCGAAAAAGAAAAGCAAAGAAACAAAAAGAATAATCTACCGAGCGAATGTGGCGCTGTATTGGCTGGAATAAAAAAAATAAAAAAATAGAAAGAAAAAAAAAAAGAAAAAAGAAAAAAAGAGAAAAAAAGAAACGAAAGAGATAAAAAGTCGTTTTCTGCACACACAAATCTTCCTTCCTATATATGTACTCTAGTGTACATACTTTTCAAGAAAGTACCGATAGAGTAGACAGGTATGTACGCTGCCGCGAGCCACAGTCACGTACTACGGTGGGGGTTACCTACATGTAGAGTGTTCCAACCTCCATGACACCCCGCGTGCTTCCTATTGGATAGCCTTACTTGCTGCCTGTTCTGGAACGATCACCGAACAAAAACTCGAGGAAAACATTTCGCGATGGTCTTGATCATTGAACATAGATCCGACGGGGTGAGCGCGCGCGCGCGCTATGGTAAGTTAATAGGAAATCAATTCATACAAACTCTCCCTGTGGTTGTCTCTGGGGGCCTAGATTGTCATAGGAAATGAAACTGCGGCTTTGATCTCGCGGCCTGTCCAAGGCAGCAACTCTAGGCCAGCCTCGACCACGACTCTCGGTGCCAGCATGGAGTCTGTGATTTTTTCCCCCTTCCCTTCCAGGCAATGCATTTGCGATCCAATTACCAATCCTCTAGATCTGAAACGAGGGTGAGGAGGAAGATGAGGAGCAGGAGGAGGAGTATGGGGAGTATGAGAATGAGGAGGAGCAGACCGACGAGGGTGAGATGAAGGCTCTTCGACTCTTCCTCGTCTCGACAGTTTGACAGCTTCAGATCGATCCTCCCTACCACCACCCCTCCACACCCTTCTCAGCGCACACCTCGGCTAAAAAAGCCATGCCTACCTTGTTTCGACCTCTAGCTCTCCCATCGCTGTTTCTCGTCTCAGAGCGCTCAAGGGTGCGAAGGGATCTGACTGGACAATGCTACTGTACTTCCCTTAATGAATGCATTTTCTAGCTGCGTGCATCTCCATCCCAGATCCCAGATCCTGGAAACTTTCCCACGTGGGTGGTTCTATCTATCTGGCTGTCTGTAAACCCCACACTAACTTACCACATACACTTGACTTACTTTTCCTGTTTCTTCTTTGACGGGAGTGAGGGAGGGAAGTACTGACCCGGGGGGGGGGGGGGGAACAGCTACCTTCTGCGGCCGGAGAATTTAATTGGGGTGGTTGTTGTTTTTTTTGTCTCTTTTTTATTTTTTTCATTTTTTTCTTCATTTTTTTTTTTACATCATATTATCCTGACAGGCGTAGCAGCGGGTATCTGCAGCTACATGTAGCAAGTTGCAATTAGAGTTGTGGGCAAGATTAAAAGTACATGTACGTACATACATCATGTAGCCTTGCTTGCGATAACACCCCGACCCCCAATTTCAGTACAACCGCCGTAGTCCTACCAGCTACATAGCTGGCTACAACATGTATGTAACCAGCTAGCCAGCTTTCCCAGCACGGCCGTCACACCTGCCTGCCTGCCTGGCTGGCTGCTTGCCTGAGGGCCTCTTCCACGCACTCTCGTCTCTGAACATGATCATCAACATCATCAATATATATCATCATCATCACTAATAATCATCTGACCACACATGATATCTATCTATATCCAGAACTTCTCGAACACCCTCCATTTATGTAGGCTGAGGCTGTTGCTGCATGCACCCCCCCCCCTTTCCTTTTCCCACCTAAACTAAATTACGCTCCTTTATGCAAGCGAGCAGCCGCCAAGAATATATCGCATATGCAGGTACAATTTGGGGCCTGTGCGTGACGTCTTTGAAGCCGCGGATGGGGCTACTTGGGTGGGTGGCCTATGTACTATGTAGCATTTGGTTAGGGTACTCGAATCGGCCCGGCCCTTGGCCGTGCCGGTGTTTGACGTCGAGGTGTGAAGTCTCATGAACTTTCGAGAGAGCAAGTGCAATTGGCTGGGAGGGAGGTACTATCAGCATGGCCGTTACCTGTCACGCTGCTTGGAAACGTAACTTGTTGCTTGGTTGGTTGCTTGGAGCAAGTGCAAGGTTACAGTTACTGACCAAGAGTAAGTACTACTACTGGCTGATGGCTTGGGCTAGGTAATTCGTTGGGGGTAATAATGGTAATTGTATTGTAATAAACACATATGCATATCCTCCGGCAAACGGGCAGAAAAGAAAACAAAACAAAAGAAACCCATTTCCATGCATGTCCGTTCCGGTAATCTCCGCCCGCCCCATTGAACCAAAAAAGAAGAGATCGAGAGAGAAGAGAAACAATAACAACATAAAAGAAAACAAAAGAGAAGAGAACCCTAGGCTGATAACATCAGATCATACTCGTCATGAAGAGTGGAATAAAGAAATGAAAAGAGACTAAAACTAACTAAACCACCGTGGAGGCACCCCTCCCCCAAAAAAGCAACAAATGGTTGAAACAAGCACTCCCCGAAGATTGACGACACAATTGCGCGGCCGAAGAGATGGTGCGAAATAAGAAAAGAGAAAAAGAAAAGAGAAAAAGAAAAAGAAAAGGAAAAAACGTTAACCCCTGATCCCTACCAGAAACCCTTACAGATGTTTCCCAAAGAATGCCCCTCCCCACACCATCACGACCACCACAACCACCACCGTCGAATTCCATCCTACCTACTCACCGTCATCTTCAATCACGACCACACTCCTCCCCCTAATCATGTACTGACCCTCTCCCCTTTATCCTGGACCGGACCCTGGTATACAAAGGAAAAGCCGAAAAAGAAACAAAAACACCGAAAATGGAACACATAGGGAAAAATGGATCGAAATCAGTGCTTGCAGCAGGGATGGACCTTCACCGCCGTTTCCCAGCTCCCAGGTACATCTTCACCACAATCAAGATCGCAGAATTTCCGAGACTCCAGCATCGCCGCCGCCGCCGTGTCCTTCTCCTTCTTCTCCTCCTCCTCTGCGAAGGAGAAGAGGTGGAGGAAGTCGAGGCCTACCACAGTAGCAGCACTTCGTCTGGGGGAGATGATCACGCAAGGCGACACTGCAGATGAAGCACTACGGCGATCATCGGTCCGCAGTTCACCGTCTGTGTTGTCTCGTCCGGCAGCCTGTTCCATCGCGCACTCCCGGTTAGCTATACTGCGAATTGCAAATGGAGAGATGGAGGGCAAAGGGGCTTGCGGAGGAGGCACATACCACGCATTCGGCGCAGGCAGAGTGGTTGACCCAGACCCAGTTCTCGCAGTTGTAGGTGAGGAAGTTCTTGCAGCGGAACCTGTAGAATCCTGATCCGCTCATGGTGACGATTTGATATATATTGATATAAATAATTTGGGATATTGTTGGTAGGAGAAGAGAGAAGCGGCAGGAAGCAATGTCAAGTATATTTGAACACTCCGAAGAAGACGAGGAAGCTATACAGTTTATATATTTATATATTGACTGATGCAGAAATTCTGAGAGACGAAGAAACGGACGAGCTGCTGCTGAGAAGAGAGATATCGAGATGCTTTATATGAGAGCTGAGAGGAACTGAACTGAACTGAACTGAACTAACCAACAACCCAGCTATATATCGAATTGGATGCCTTGGTCTTATTGCGCTTGTGATCTGATGAACTGGAAAAAAAAAAACCAAGAATGCGAGAAAAACCCGTTCCCTTTATATGTAACCTCCCCCCCCCCCCCCCCCCAATTGGCACAAAAGCACACGGGCCACCACAGCACCGCAAAGCTGAAGCTAAAGGGCCTCGTGGCTCCGGGGCGAGCATACATGGGATCATCTTTTTTTCTTTTTTGACAAGGCTAGCTAGGGAGATTTGCTAGCTAGCCCGTACAGTGAAGACCCCCCCCCCCCCCCCCCCCGGTGTTTGCCCCTCCTCATCCTCTCCTCATCCTACGTCTACTTTTACTATTATTAATACTCATTCACTCACTAAGAATAACATACCATCTCCACATCCGCAGCTTCCACTGTCGGTATCCTCTAACTGAAGATCTTCCGCGATAAAGCCCGAATAGTGATACATCACGAGCTAGAGTCACTATTAGCGGGTTCCTTGCGGGTTCTAAAACCTGGATCAAGCTCACCTGAACAGCCTCGTTGTTGGCAGGTAATATATACTATAACAGGAATGAAGGAACGTAGGTAGGTTCATGTAGGTAGGTTCATGTAGGTAGGCACTTACTTCACTTGCTCCATAAGATATGTTACTCCCGGGGGGGGTATGTGTCACACAATAAGTTCGAAGGTTGAACGTGCAGGGTATGTTACAGCGGGGAGAGTTGTTTAGTTCCTCCTCCTCCTCTTCCTCCTCCTCCTCTTCCTCCTCCTCCCCCTCCCGCTTCTCCTCCACGGTGGGACATTGAGAGACAGTAATTTGTTTTTTCCCAAATGTGTTATCGATATTAGCTGCACTTCCACTTTCAGTCGTTGGGAATAACGGAGTCGTTGGAAGTGTCTTTAGGGAGGCAGTACCATATTCTTCATGCTATGCTTACGGCGCATGGTGAAGGATGGTGATACAGGAAGTGCGAATTCATGCCACTGACCGTCTTTCTCTATCTTTACCTCTGTCTAGTCTCCTTTTACCACTATCACTCTCTTTCTTGGCATGATCCATGAGTATCAAGTATTTTTCAAAATTCCAGTGCAATGCCATCATCTCCACTGTAACATGAGCCAGCGTCTATTTTTATAATACCTTTTCCTTAGTTATTTTCTTGAATCTCCCGCTCTCTCTCTTAAATTGAGGCTATTCATCTCACTTTACACACACAAGGAGTATCAGTAACGACTCATCCTCCGTTACATCTGCATATGTCATCCTCTCTCTCACTCACTCACCTCCAGCCACAGCCCACCTCGACCACCGCTGTAAGTACTCTACTCTCCCCTTCCCCCATACACTCAGCCCGCGCGCCGGTACCACCACCAAAACCCACAACCCACAAGCTATATTGTATGTCGGAGAGGTCGGATGTGCCCGGGCCGAAGGTACTCCCCCAGCTACATACCTAGTTACGGGTTTCTGATCTTTGATCACTAAGCTATTATATTATTCCCCCGTTTCGCAACTCGAGCTATGTGCCTGACATATATTAACAAGCTACATGTAGCTAGCTAGCGCAGCCAGCCGACGCGCTTCCTCCAACCCACCTCCCCCCCCCCCCCCTTCCCCATCCACCACCACCTCCCTCTGGTAGATCGATTGATCACTCGACTCTTGTCTAACTAGTGGTTAGGTGGGTTTATGTTCATCCCATATTAACTAAGCCCCCCCTCCCCCCCAACCTCCCATCTCCTCCATCTAATCCCTCCTCATACCCAGGGACAGCCCTGGCACGTTTGGATTCCTGGATTTGCAGGCCACTAACCTCAGCTGAGAGCGCCCGCGCCGCAATATATCTCCCCGTAGCCTCGGGAACCTGCCCCAAGGATCTGGGCTACGCAAGGACTAGACATGGGGGGAAGGGAAGTGAGGGGTGGAGGAGGAGGGATGGAGGGGTCTACACTCGACCCGCCTCGTATGGGGTTCGAAAGGGGGGGAGGGGGAAGGGGACTGGGGAATTTATTGCTGTTTTAGGCTGGCCGGCGGTGTCGCTTGTTCCTGCGGTGGGCCGCGCGCGGTAATCGATAAGCGGCGACCAGCCAGCCAGGCCAGCTAGCGCAGCTGCTTTGCGCAGCGAAACGCCGCGCGCGCACTATATACTATAGTGCATGGCTGGCTATAAGATGTGCATGCAACATATTTTATGTATACTATGGGAGGATGTGCACGGAATATGCATAACATGCAGCGGGCTCGGGAATCAGGCTTGCAGAGGGCGAGGCGGAAAAGATCGCCGGGTCAATGGTCGGGGCGGGGGGAGATTGTATTGCAGTGTAGGTAGCGTATGAATATATGTAGCTTCAATGTATATATGTGTCGATCGCGGGGAAAGTAGGGGTGGTGGGTGCATGACTGATAGATAGCTAGCTAGCTGGATAGCTTGCTACATACACAGATCTTAATCTTGTTATTGAGCATGAGGTGGGATATAGAGTGGAATGAAACACGGACTGGGGACTAGGGCCATCACGAGGTCGATGTTGCGGCAATTAGTGTAGCTGCTTATGAATTGTTGAGATATGTGAGTGAGTGAGTGAGTGAGAGAACGTGAAATTCAAAAGAGAGAGGGAAATTTATCGGGGGTTGGGTTTGGATCCAACGGTATGGCCGGCCGGGTGTTTCGGGATTCATGCCCTCAGCCAACAGAACTACCAGACTGATGGGTATACAGGAATCAAGCTTCAAGGGGGTTGGTCACCTGGGGAAAGAGGAGGAATTCACTGTCGTTGCCCCGGACCAATAGAGCTGGATGGGGGTGAGTGATAGGATTTGCATGTTAGTAGAATGGAATATAGCAGCTGCAGAGGTCAGCTAGCTAGCTAGCTTCTAGTAATTAACAGGAATATTGTCTCGTATTCGACCGCGTACGCAAGTGTCTGTAACTAGCTACATGTAGCTATCAAGAAAGTTGCATGGGATATATTCTACTCGCCGTCATGATCGTCACCTATAGCTACATAGCTAGCTAGCTAAGCTACGAGCATCAATCACAGAGAGAGAGTCAAAGCTGGCTAAATTAAAGTAGCGATTACCAAAAGGAGGTCATTTCCAGTATCACAAAGAACGTGGGGTCCATAATTGTAATTAAATAACACAAGCACATATTAATTACCGACGGCGGCAATCACTGAGAAAGTCCCACCCCCCCCCAATAAGTAGCTAGTTGCGCAAGGATAAGAGGCATACACACAGGTGAATGTGGTGCGCATCTTCGTCTCCGAACCAGCTGCTGCACCGTGCAGTGCATATCGCGGGCACCCCAGAAACATCCCTGCTGTAGCTCGTACGTACAGCCAGACACATAGATTGATAGACTCGAGCATAATCACCAGTGCACCACCACCACCACCACGACTGCCGACCGGCAATGCAGAGCTGGCAGCTGGGAAACATCATGGAGGACAGCGCCGAGGTGCGACAGCATAACGGCTAGGTAGGGAATTTGCAGTGTGTGAGACGGATGTGAACCAGAGTCGAGATTATTAGCATACTAATTAACCATGTATCCCATTTGCCGTTGAGATTGTGAGCTCCCAATCTCTCTGTAGCTCTCTCCCGAGCTCTGGATGGATGCAATGCCTGTATCCAGATCAGCGATGGTTAATTACGCGGCTCTTTCTTCCTTTTTTGCAAGTGATTTGGGGGGGGGGGGGGGGGGGGGTACAAGGTAGGCTTGATCTGGTATGGAGGTCGCTCTTTGATACCAAGTATTGATCTTCTTGAAGTGGCTCGAATGCGGAAGCGGCTCCGCTTCGTCCAACTGTGTAGCTGGGCTGGCAGCTCGGGGCCGGTCCGATAATTGTGCATGCGTCGATATATGTTTTGTCTTGATATGTACGAACTGCTGTTATCAGATTGGCAGCTATAGCTATATATCATATGGTCAGGATATCCGAGAGTGTAGTGGGGCCGAGATATATAGATCAGGCCATGATCAAACTCGCTCGTGAATCGCGGGTATATCCAACATCTCGCAATCCTCAGTGGGCATATTAGGGAGACAGCAATTGTGCCAAGTAAGCTCATGTCTTCGTCCGGCGACGTTAGTGCTCAATGGTCGTTCACGTCAGTCAGTAGCAAGTAACGAGTAAGTTCTAGTTAACGTCGTCGGGGCCGTGAGGAGGGGTAATTGAAGGGAGGCCTAAGCGTGGTAGCAATAGCAGTGCATGTATACAATTGTAGTAGTTGTTGCAGTTTATAGTATAGTAGCTAGACCTCTATCTGAGATCACCCTACATATCAGGCTAGCTCTCCTGTTCCTGATTGCTCCGCTAGCTAGCTGCCAATATAATGCAGTGAAGGGCTATTCACGGCCCGATCGGCTGACGTCCGAGGCGGCGGCTCAGGCGGAAATCCGTCAGTGCGGTGCGAAGAACGGGCCAAGCATCTTGCCTGCCGATCCCGGGACACCTGGTGGTAGTGGTTGTAGTTGTGGTTGTGGTGGTTTTGGTGGTTGTGGTTGTGGTGGTTGTGGTGGTGGTGGTGGTGGTGATATCGATGGTGATGCATATGGCTAGCCAGCTACATAGGTTACATACATGCCATGCAATATGGTTGTTTGAGATTCCCTCTACGCACAACTTGCAGTTGGTAACTATCTCCTAATTTCAAACTTCAATATCACGAATACCGCCGAGAGCGTCTATCTCGACGATTGATGGGCTAGAATCTCAATGTTTGGACTCG